TTTTTTCTCAGCGTTTATTTACTTTTGAAAGAGAGAGACAGAGCGCAAATGGGGGAAGGGGCAGAGAGAGAGGGAGACACAGAATCCGAAGCAGGCTCCAGGCTCCGAGCTGTCGGCACGGAGCCCCACGCGGGGCCCGAACCCACGAACCGTGAGATCATGACCTGAGCCGAAGCTGGGCGGCTAACCGACTGAGCCCACCAGGCGCCCCAGAAGTTCATTTTTTTAAAAACAAACTGGGATGGTTTCACACCAGAAGACGGGCCCGGATTAGACCTGAGGGCAGGTGCCGTGAACACTTGGCCCTTTGCCAACCCCCCCTACCTCCCCCCCAGAGCACCAGCCCTTCGCCCTGTCCCATCTGCCAACCCTGGCGCCATGGCCATTGGGGCTGGATGAGTCCTCGTGGTGGGGGCTGTCCCCCTTGTCCCAGGATGTCGAGCCGCGTCCCTGGCCCCACCCATTAGCTGCTAGTAGCATTTCCTCCCCCGTTGTGACAACCACAAATGTCCCCTGTGTTGCCAAATGTCTTCTCAGGTCGAAATCACCCGGGGTTGAGGACCTCTATCCTCGGGTTTTATGTAAACAACGGGTCCCATTGCCAAAAGGGGGGGGTTGGGCCATCTGCACTAGGGATTTCGGGGAGACCTGCGTTATCAGAAGTGGGCGCCCTGTCTTTCCTGCTGGGCTCTGATCTGGGCTGTTGACTTTCGAAGGCCCTGCTCCCTGGGGTCCGGGGCTCCTTTGTGAAGGAGGGAAGGCACGGGCGGCCAGGGAGCCCGAACTCTCGAGAAGGCTATCCCGCGATCGTAGAGATCACGCTATGGCACCACCTGCCACGTGTGAGCCCCGAGCGTGCGCAAACCCTGCGCTGAGCTGGGCACACGGTTTGTGTCACCAGATCGTCAGCACCAGGGAGCGATCATTAGCCCCATTTTGCAGCTGAGCAAACGGAGGCTGAGAGGGTGTGGGAGTGGCCCGAGCGTCACACAAAGAAGTCCATGGTGGAGGCGGACTGTAACCAGCTTCCATGGCAGGGAGGCCTCGCCCGTGTCTCTCCCTGGTGACGCTGGAGACCTTGGTCCCCGGAGCCCCTGAGAGGTGGCTCCTGGGGCTCCACTCACACACGGGGAAAGTGCCGGCCCCGCTCTCAGGTGCCGTGAGGCCAGCCGGGGTCCTCCCCAGCTGACCGTGCTGTCGTTCTCTCCCCGCAGGGTGTTTTTCCTGAACGTGCCATTAGATTCTATCATCGAGCGGCTGACCCTGAGAAGAATGGATCCCGTCACGGGAGAAAGGTTTGTGCCAGGCTCCCGGTGGTTGGCCATCTGAGGGCTCAGCCGAGGCCACTGCAGGATGGGTCTGGGGCTGACGCTGACAGAAGACTCTAGAAAGAGGGTTCATCCAGCCAGTTCCTCTGGGCAGTGCCTGTGGACCCTGTGCCAGGATATGCGTGTCCGACGCGAAATACCCTCCCGGTCCCAAGTAACAGTTCTGACCCTGGCATGGGAAGTGGCTGGATTGGGCAGGTGTCCCCGGGACGCTTCCGAAGGCCTCTTCTCGCCAAGACGCGCTGCAGATGTGACTGCGAACCAGTTCACCTGGGGGCCGACCCACGGTCACCGGAGGTGAATTGTGAGCCTTATTCTGCGGTCCGGCCAAGTGCAATGACTGTGTTCGCGTTGAGACGCAGTTGAAAGTCCCCACGATCACTAAGAGCTAGAAGCATCCATCCTCCCTGGTACGCAGGCCACATTTCTTAGTCCCCCGGCCGCGTTTCTGGGTCGGGACTCCGGAGTGGGGTGGGGAGGGGCAGGAAAGAAATACCAGGAATTTTCTACACCATAGGCTGATGTCTCATCCTTGATGCCGAGGGACGGTCTCGCCGACCCAAGTCAAGCACAGTGGCCTTCGTGTTGCCCTGCCCCTGGGTCCCGCCCAGCAGTGACTGTCTGTGGCCCTTGCTGTCCCCTGCACTCACATTTGTTGTCACAGTGCCCCTCTCCCCCACTCGGCCACGAGCGCTATGCGCACGGAGCCAACGATCGTCCCGCTTGCCCCTCTGTGCCAGGAGCAGACATGATGCCGGAGGGGCAGCAGACGCTTGGTAAATACTGTTTGGAGGGAAGAAGGAAAAGGAGGAAAGAAGGGAAGGAAGAGAAGGAAAGAAAGAAAGGAATTTGGGGGGTAATATATTCTACTCTGTCCGCCGGTCACTGACCTGCACCCTCACCCCCGGGGCAAGGACCACTCTTCGGGTACTCCAGGGGGAGCACCAGGGCCCCACCACGGGTGTGCCCACAGCTGGTGTGCCGTAAATGTTTGGTGGCGGTGATGGGGACCGATTGGGTCAACGGTGGGACAGAAGGCCCGTTCCCCCCCACCCCTGACCTCTGGGCGGGGCCACAGGTCACCTGCTTCCCTCCTCTGTCGTAGGTACCACCTCATGTACAAGCCACCCCCGACCGTAGAAATCCAGGCCCGCCTCCTACAGCACCCGAAAGATACTAAAGAGCAGGTCAAGCTCAAAATGGATCTGTTCTACAGGCATTCCTCGGACCTGGAGGAGTTCTACAGGCAGGCCATCACCATCAACGGGGACCAGGACCCGTACACGGTCTTTGAATACATAGAGAGTGGGATCATTAACCCCCTGCCCAGGAAAGTCCCCTGATGGCTTCCCAGGGAAACAAAGTCAGCCCCCACCCCAACCTCCCGAAACCTCAGCCAAGCCAATAAAGTGTGCTGGGTGCAGTCTCGGGTGTCCTGGAGGTGAGGACGCTGGAAGGCCGCCGTGTTTCGGGGCCTGGGAACACAGGGCGGACAAAGCCCAGGGAGGCAGTGGAGCACAGCAGGGCTCCGGGCTGTGCGCCCTTGGACGAGGCACCGAACCCTCGGAGCCTCACTTACAGCCAAAGCCACGGTGGTGACCGTCCCTGCGGGCGGGGTGCCCGGAAAGCCCTCAGCCAAGTCCCTGGCACACAACAAGCTCTCAATAAATGGAGTTTTAAAGAGCCACCACCTCGGGGGCCCCTGGGTGGCTCGGTCGGCTAAGTGTGTGACTTAGCCGACGGCGCCCCGCCCGCCCCCCGGTGCCCCGCAAGGAGATGGTTTTTAAATTTCACCCGCCCTTTGCTAACTTAAACAGAAACAGCCACGGGTGGCTTCGTGGCTGCTGTGCTAGACTTTGCTGTTCCAGGCACACGGGACTGTTTCTGAGGATGGGCTAGAGCCGCTTAGAAGGCCTGCTTTCAGGTAGCGCCTCTGGGGCCGGCACGGCTTACAGCACACGGGTGTAGACAGCAGGCGGACGGCACCGTGCGCTGCTCTTCCGTGGGCTCCCCCTCCTCCCATTATTCCCTTTCCTCGTCACGTAGGCGATGTGCCCATCAACAGAAAAGCACGCTGAAGCCACAGAGGGGAAGGGACTTGCTTAAGGTCCCCTGGACCCACGGCCACACCCGAACCTGGTGTTCTGGAGCTCTCTGCCTGTGGGGCCTCAGCGGGCCGGGCCAGCCGGGCTCTGGGGATGCTCGCTCGGGTGCTCTGGGCCTCACCGGTGAGGCCCCTTCTAGCCTGGGGTGGCCCGAGTCCCTCCGGCAATGATCCGATCCTAGTACTGGCCGTGGTAGCCAGTAACCAGGACGGCCAGTAGCTGGTACGCACGGGGCCGAGCCCCCCCCCCCC